ATGCAAAAATTCATTCCGATTTCTGAATACCTCGAAACCGGCGGAATTTCAAAAATTTCGGAAATTACATTAGCTTATAATAATCTCTTGTCCCGAATTCGGATATGTTGGTAATTTTCACAATACATTTTTATCTTTTTTGAAATTTTGTAGGAAAATGCAAGAAAATCAAAAAGAGTGTTTGACAAAACGCAATAAATAAAAACACATGTAGAAACAACAAATTGAAATGTTGATTTTCTTATAAGAAAAATGCAACATAAAGTTTATGATACCAATTAATCCTTCTTAGGTCATGACCCTTCGGTATTTATATTTTTCATATAAAATATAACATAAGTTATCTTATGGAATTACAAAATAAATAATAAAATTACATTATATATTTCGAAAATACATAGAAATATACAGAACTAAAATCTGATCGGAAATCGGAATTTCCGAAAATTTTATATACTATTTCAATTCCATTCTAAATAAATTCAGAAGAATCGGATATCGGAACTTCAAAAATCGGGATGAAAAATACAGTTGCAAATCCGAATATATTTTAATCAGAATCGACAGAATTCAAAAATTCCATTATGATTTTAAAATAAAGTCTCTAACTTGTTCGAACTTGATGGCAATACAAAACCAAAAAGTCTTGGTCCAATTACTTTAATTTATTACACGAATTAGTTTACGATTTTAGCAACGATAAATACAATTACAAGTGATTATATCACTCGCGGTACAATCGGCTCGAACAAAAACTTTTCCCTGCAGCGCCTTTTGGCATAATGGAGGGCACAAGTTCGCACTACACACAACTCCAGGATTTCCTAGAAAAATTTGTTGCGAACAATTTTTCGCCTTATTTTCATTCTCACCTGCCAAAAGAGAAAAATGTAAATATACATACATACATGGCATTAATGCGTTTGTTACGAATGAAATACAAACACTTAATTTTGAGAAAATATCAAAATTGTCGATGTTCGATAAATGTATGTGATTAAATATTTAACCAAAAGAAAATTGATATAAAAAAAATTCACCTCTACAAAGTACAACAAGAAATACAAGAACGACGAGGCGAAGTGAGGTTTTCATGATTTCGAAGCTTTTCTCTGTAATTTTTGAGGTGGGGATGATTTAATTTATAAGTAAAAAGAGATAATTGAGAGCACATTTATTTAATTATCTTATTTCTTGAATCAGTATTATAGTTAGTGATTTTCCATGATTTCTGCTTTGACTGTCATTTCTTAGGGAAATTAATGGAGACTGAAAAAGTAAATTTATAAATGTTACAATATTTTTCATTTGTAATTACAAAACAAAAAAAATAGTGAAATGTTTTTTGGGGTCTGAAAATTGCTATTTGCAACTCATACTCCAAAAAGCTTTCTCTCTTAAAAAAAAAGAAAAAATTCAAAATAATCGAATTGAAGCAAAACTGAAATGTAAATGTCGTTTCAATTTTACTAATGTCTTTTTGACTTCGAACCTGATTTTGACATATTTCTATTTTGATTTTGGCAAAATTCGAAACACGAAAACTGTAGTCCTTTGGGTTAACTTTCTAGTCCAACTTAAATCCGCTAGATTGGATGTCGTGTGACAAAGTTATGCATGAATGAGTCACATTTTGAATTTTAGATACCTCAATACATCAAAGTTGTGGGCAGTATCCATTGATTCATGTATATCTTTCTCGTACGACATCCAATTTTGGTGATTCAAGTTGGATTGTAAAACTAACTCAGAATACTACAAATTCTATTTTTCGGGTTTTGCAAAAATTTGGAATTGAAAATGATCAAAATCACGTTTGAAGTCGTAACGGTATTATTAAAGCTCGAATGACATTTATCACATCCCGAAGCAAAATCAAGCCAAATTCATCGAAATTTTGAGGTATTTTCAACTCCTAAACGTTTTAATTGAATTGGGTAGGAAATTTCGGTTGTAATTGCATGTTAAACAACCCTAAAAATCGAATTTTAGGGCTGTTTTTGGAAAACAATTGCGCACAATGAACGCCTAAACCGGGCGTTCACCAGCATTTTTCACGCCCGGTTTGGGCGTGCAAAATACTGGTGAACGCCAGGTTTGGGCGTTCGGTTATAGTATGGACGCCTGGTCTGGGCGTCCGGTTTAGGAATGGGCGCCCGGTTTGGGCGCTCGGGTCCGGTTTGGGCGCCTGGTCTGGGCGTTCAGCAGTGTTGTTGTTGTTGTTTTTTTTTTTTTTTTTTTTTAATTTCAATATTTTTTTACAATTTCAATTTTACTTATTTCAATTTTTTTTTTATAATTTCAATTTTACTTATTTCAATATTTCTTTTTTTTATAATTTCAATTTAACTTATTTCAATTTTTTTTTTATAATTTCAATTTTACTTATTTCAATATTTTTTTTATTTTTATAATTTCAATTTTACTTATTTAAATATCTCTTATATTTGCAGGATATCTAATTGGATTAAAAATCTAAAAATGGGAGAAGGGAAGGGGCCTGTGATTCGTCCTAGACATAATCGAAAGGTTACTAGTTCTACACGGCGTGACGAACAGACGATGATTTTTAAACAACTAGGAGCACTTGTTGATGTTGGATTCAGGATTGTTGGTCTTTTTTTTTTGATTCAGGCGGTTACTAGTTCTGTTTTCTTGATTCAGGCGGTTACTAGTTCTGTTTTCTTGATTCAGGATTGTTGGTCTTTTTTTTTTTTTTTTTTGGATTTGTCAATACAAAAAAAAACACTAAGTTCGACATAATAAAATATTAAGTTTGACATAATAAGGTACTAAGTTCGACATAATAAAATACTAAATTGGACATAATAGAGTACTAAATTCGACATAATAAAGTACTAAATTTGACATAATAAAATACTAATCCGATAAAACTAAACTAAATCAAACACTATTTAGAATATCCCACGCTTGACGTCTACCTTGCATTGTGTTGGTTTCCCTGAAAAAAAACCTAAAAAAATTAACAAAAAAATACAAAGCAAATAAACCGGGGGAGGGGGGCCGGACGCCCAAGCCGGGCGCCGAAAGCTGTTTGGGCCACCCGAACTCCAAGATATTCACCACTATCGGATGCTCTAGCGACCATGGCTATGAGGGCCTCCGCACAACATATGAACAAATACGGAGATAGCGGATCCCCTTGTCGTAGCCCCCGCGAAGGTGAAACCTGGCGAAACTACATATCATTGAATAAGAAGAATGAGACATTGGAAATGCACAACATTATAAGATCAATAAATTCAGGGAAAAACCAAAACCACAAAGAATCTTTTTCAAAAATAGCCATTTAATTCGATCGTATCCCTTGCTAATATCTAGTTTAATAGCCATATAGTTAGTTTTGCTTTTAGTGTTCATTTTGATGAAATGGTCAATCTCAAAAGCTACAAGAACATTATTGGAGATAAGACGTTTAGGAACAAATGCAGACGGAGTAGGGAAAATCAGGTCATTAAGCACCAACTTGATTCGATTGACTAGGACTCACTAGTAGAAACTTTGCTTTCTACTACGAATTTTTTTTTTTTACGGTAAAAAGCCGTAACAAAAGAGACTTTTTACTACGGGACAATTTTGAAGTCGTAGTAAATATTAGGATTTACAGCAGCAAAAAAGTATTTGGTACGGAGATTTACTGTAGCAAAGTTTTTGTCACGCATATGTTACGGGGCAAATTTGTAGCAAATGCGTAGCAAAAGCCTTTTTACTACGAATTTTATACCTTTAGGTGTGGTTAATGGTCGTAGTAAAAAGCTATTTTTCTACTAGTGACTTTAGACCCAAATTTATAAATGACATTATGAAGGCTGAGCGGTCTATGGTCGGAAATTTTTTTGGGCTTTCTAATTTTGGGGATTAAAACTATATAGGTGGAATTTAGGTTCGGCAGAAAAAAAATTATGGTTGAGAAATTTAAGCACACAAGAAAGAACATCAGTCCCTAACACATGCCAAAATTTAGTAACGAAGACGACGGGCAAGCCATCCAGGCTCGGAGATTTGGGAGGAGCCATTTGAGAGATAGCTTTTGTTACCTCGTCGGAAGTGAAAGGTTAGTATAGAAGTTGACTAGCTCCATCAGCAAGACGAGCCTCAATGCACTCCAACACCTCATCTATCTCATCTCTTCCTTGGGTATGTGGACTTAAAAATATGCTCGAAGTATTTTGATATAATACGCTCAATACCCTCGTTATTCTAAGTCCAGATTCCCTCCGCATTTTTAATCCATTCCACTCTATTTGTACGATGGCGAATGGTGGCTCTCTAGTGAAAAAACCTCGTAATCCTGTCCTCTTCCTTTATCCATTGGACCCGGCTCCTCTGACGCCAATATAGATCGTTATCCTCGTACGCCCGCTCTAGCTCTCACCTAGGTTTATTTTTTTTGTGAAGTTCATTGATCACTTTTTGAAGTTGGCGAAGAGATGTTTGGCTCCATTGAATTAATGCCAAACGACATTAAAATGCTGGAATATGTAAAATGGGGGTATCTCAAACAACACCTTTAAATACCAACCATCATATTCTACTTTAATGTTTGTTAATATTTTACAATCTTTTCAAAATTAGAATTACAACTTTTAGATTATTTACTGATAAGAGGTTTGAGGATTCCAAATGTGAAGTGAAGGTTCACTGGAGTTCAGGAGCAACGCCGCCTATTCTTATAGAATTCCACTAGTGATTCACTGAAATATGTAATCACTGATTTAAAGAGAAATCATTTTAAGCCATAAGACCTTCGAATAACGGTTACTGAAGTGCAAAATCAAATTCGAAAAATATCAAGTCAATGACCCAACTCTAAATATTCAAAGTCAAATTTATATTATTCTTGATAGAAAATGAGAGGATTAAATTAGAGATTTTATGCCACAATATTTATTTTGATTCAATAAATTCTGTTTCCGAATGTTTTTCTTGTTTGTTAAATTCTGCAACAAATTTTTGCATGTCCGTTGGAGTTTTAAATAAAAATCCACAGGATTGGCAAATTTATAAATAAAATAAGTGCAATAATAATAGCTTTGAAATGTGCAAAGATGTTTTTTTTTTTTTTTTTTTTCCAATCATTATTCATTAAAGCATAAAAAAAACAAAAAGTGACATTTTTTGGTTAAATGTTAGTGCTGAAAGGATACTCTTGATCTCCTACAACCAAATATTGAACTCCAGATTCAATAATCATTGTTCCATCTTCACTGGCTCTTGTGAAATGCTGACATGGATTTATTTCAAATTCGACATTAGTCTTCTCCTTTGCATTCAATCTCACTATCTGAAACCCGACCAACTGTTTCATGGGACGACTCCTATTACCAGCTTCATCGTGCCTTACGAATATCAGAACCGAGTGCTTACCGGCCATACTCCCTTCATTCTCAACACTAACAATAGCTGAAAACTTTGCATTTTCACATGACTTCGAGCTAATGTCCGAAACTAAAATATAGTTCTTGAAGTCGAGCTTACTTTGACCGACGGAAACAAACTTGTAAGAATAGTTCGAGTAGCTAAGACCATAGCCAAATTCATAAACTTTCTCGCCTTGGTAAAATCTGTAAGTTCGTCCCGGATATCCTGACGAAGGATCGGGCCTCATTCTCATATCAGTCATTGGTATTTTGATGAAATCTTTCGGATACCAAGTTAATGGAAGCCTTCCTCCTGAATACACACATTAATTAAATTATTCTATACTAATATATAAGTTCGACACGTGGAAAATATATATTATAGAGGGTATTATACCTGGATTGTGGTCACCAAATATGATCTCTGCAATTGCTTTCCCCCCTGCTTCACCGGGATATCCGGCCCAAAGAATACTTCCGATCTTGGGGTTATTTTTCGCGAATGAAATATCAACGGGACCTCCACAGAGCAATACTAACACAACGGGCTTTTTAGCGGCCTCCGAAACGCTCATGATAAAACTTTGTTGCTCGCCCGGGAGTACCAATTCTTCTCTGTCACGATCTTCACTCTCTTCCTCTTGATTGAGTCCCATTACTAAAACGACATGATCTGCCGATTTCGCAAGTTTCACAGCTTTGCTTTTGGCATTTATCGTGCAATTGATGTTTTCACAACCCTCATGGAATTTTATTTTTTCGATATAATCCGTTAGTCCTTGTAGCGGAGTAATGGTTTTGCAAGGTGGCCCCGCGTAGTTTCCTACGAGTGTTTTCGAGACGTTGGCATTAGGCCCTATTACCGCAAGAGATTTCGTTTGGGACTTAGATAGTGGAAGTAGGTTTGCAGAGTTCTTTAAAAGGACAATGCCATCACGTGCAACTTCGAGTGCCAAGTCTTGATGCTCAGGGGTACATATGTCATTACGGCTAAGATCGCCGTACAGAAGTTGACTAGGATTGCCGTTGAAAAGTCCTAATCTCATTCTGACAGAGAAGAGGTTGTAAAGGGCTCTGTCTATATCAGATTCCGACACTTTTCCCTTTTCGACTGCTGATTTTGTGTGATTCGCCAGATAGTCGCCGCAATTAACATCCATACCTGTGTGTTTCGATCAACATTATATTATTATTATTATTAAATAAATTTTAGAAAGCTAATTTTATAGAAAAAAAATCTTGATATGTTACCGGCTTTAAGCACATCTGCCACGGCGTCTTCATGCGATTTCGAATATTTTTGCTTCTCATATAGAAGCGAGACTGCGTCACAATCCGAAGTGATATATCTGTTTATTTAAAACGACATTAGACAACATGAAAATTTAAACGAACAAAAATGATAATATTTTCAAGTTACTAAAAAAATAATTATACCCTTGGAATCCCCATTCGCCACGAGCGGTTTTCGTTAATAGATCGTAATCGGCACAATTAGGAACACCGTTTACAAGATTATAAGCACACATAATCCCGCTCGCTCGCCCTTGTTCTACACAACTTTTGAAAGGCGGCTGATATGTATCTGCCATATCCTGCTTTGTAACCTGTAACCAAAACAAAAATAACAAAAGAAAAAACACCAAATTTTTCTTTTACAATTAATTCTACAATGTAGACATACTATATATATATATTAATCAAGAAGGTTTTGATTAAATGTTGCGTACATGAGCATCAAACGTAAAGCGATCGACTTCTTTCCAGTGATCCAAATCGTAAGCGGTGAGATGTTTGCAGCATGCAGAGACTTGAAGACGTCCGTCTTTGAGGTCACCCCCTTCGAAACTGTCGCCTTGGATTCCACGAACAAACGAGACGGCATATTTACTTGTAAGAAAAGGGTCTTCGCCAGGTGTCTCTTGTCCCCTTCCCCACCTCGGATCTCGGAAAATGTTGATATTTGGTGACCAAAATGTCATGCCTATTGCCTCTCCTTCATTGTATATTGCTCGAGCCTCCGTTCCGATTACCTGCAAAATGCATACACGTGTGCGTTAGAAATAAAGAAAGGGTCATACTGTTATGGCAAATTATGGTTACTTTTGACAACTCCAGACTAAAATTGCAGTTAGTACCTGAGGATTTTCAAAATATATGCATATAAATATACATTTAAGCTCTATAAATTAATATAGTAAAGTCTTGTTTGCTTACTTATATCGGATTAGACTCGATTAAATTAGATTGAATTAATTTCGTACTGGTTAACTAATTAATTAGTTGATAATGTGTTTGGTTCTTTGGATTACATGTTGTATTAAATTTGTTAGATTACTTTATTAGATACTATAAAGTTTTTTATTTAACAAAATTAAGCTATTTTTTTAGGATAAAATTGTAATTTTTCGTTTTAATAGCCCCTGACAAAATTAATCGCTGGAGACATGACTGTAACTAATTTCATGACGTAGTATTACTTAATTACGGATTTCAACTTTAGAACCGGGCTTGAGTAATTTTGAATCCTACCAACTAAACATCTTACTAACTTCTAATACTCAGTCAGTCTAACCTAATAGTAACAAGCAAACGAGGCTTAAGAACTAACAAAATCCTATCAATTTAACAAAATATTAAATTATCTAAGTAATAATTTAATGCGTTTTCATCGAATCGGTTTCTAGAGAAACTATTATCTAATCTGAGTATCTACTGTATTAATCAAATCACTTTTGTTATTGTGTGAACATGGAATCTTATCTGCCTTTCTCTGGACCAGGAAACAAAATAAAATATATATTCATAATCATGGAAAACTATAAAACTTTCTAGCCTAATTTCACTTTACACCCTCAAAATATACCATTTTGCCATTTTAGCACCCAAAAATAATTTATGTCACTTTGCACTTTTGAAACATGTTTAATCGTTCAAATTGCATGCTAGTTTATTTTCCGGTCAGAACTTCCGTCGTTAACCTAATTTCTGATAGTCAACATAGTCATTTTTGCTTGAAAATCCATTAGTAATATGCACCTTGAAGAAAAAAAATCAATTGAATAGACAAAAAAGACCATGTTAACGATCATAAAATAAGTACACGCCAGAAAATTATGTCCGGAAAATAGACTAGGGTGCACTTTGAATATATAATTAAACATGTTTTTTGGGTGCAAAGTGCCATAAATTATTTTCGAGGGTGCAAACTGGCAAAATGGTATATTACGAGGCTGCAAAGTGAAATTAACCCAAACTTTATGAAAATAATACAGGTCCCACAGTTGAATAAAATGCATTATCTATATCTCAACCACAGATAATACAGACAAGATCTATTAACAGACATACATTTCATCACCAGCTAGCTAGCTAGATTCGAAATATTTATCAAACAATCAATGTACACTAACTAACTAACTAACCTTGGCTACTCGGTACCAAAGATTCGCATCAAATGTAGCTGCAGTGAGTATAACTTGCGGAAAGCTAGTCGCCGCTCGGATATTCCCTTTAAACGAGACCCCGTTTTCGACACCAAACGCGACCGCAACTCCATGCAGAGCCTCCGACCACCACTGGTAGTAGGGTATTCCTAGCCTTGGAATGGCCGACGCCTTGTTCACCAGCTGCGAGATTTTCTCGTCTAGGGTGAGGCGCGCGATTAGATCGTGGGCCCGTTTTCCGATCGGCAAACCGACGTTGCAGAATGGATACGACTTTGTTGATGGATTGGTGGAGGACTCACATGAGAATGGTGGGAGTGGCTGTTGAGCAGTGATGGTATTGGCAAGCATGAGAGAGAATATTATTATTGCAGCTATGAGATCCATTTTTTTTAAAAAAGAAAAATTCTATTTGTTTTTGTATTAATGGATGGGGTTTCCCTTTTAAGGCTACTTGTAGAAGTTTAGTTTTTTGACGAGGATATATATGTATTTTAGAGTGGGTTCTGATTATTTATGTTGGGTAGATTTGAACAGTAGATTTACATATAATTAAACATACACATACGTATGTGTGCTTAGTGAATAGTTATTTAATTAAATTTACAGTTCAGATTCACTCGATGTAAATAATCAGGTGTAACATCTTACGATTCCGAGGTTGGTGGGACGGATCAGACGTTTCATATTAATTAATTATTATTATTATAGTATATTTTTTTAAATCATGATAATCAGACATGGTACGAAACATTGAAAAGATAAAACAAGCAAAAATGTGAAGATTTCAAAAAAAACATAGAGGAATTAAATTATGTGATATTTAGAGCACCTATAATGCGATTCCCCAAGAATACTCTCTAAACAATGGGGGTCTGCCACCTACTTAATTATTTCTCTCCCTAAAAGTGGAATTCACATTTAGCACTCCTTTAAAACAATGTTTTAATAGTACATACTTCTACTCCCTAAAAATTTGTCTATATATCTTAAACAATAATAAAATATTCATAAATTAAATATAATATTTGAATTAAGTTTTGAATTTTGTATTTAATTACATCAATTTCGTATAAAATCTCTTATTAATTTAATTAAATAAAATATTATCTCAATATTTTTATTACATTGTAAGATGTATTATTTTATTTTATTCGTATCGATATTTATATGAATAAAGTAATTAAACACATTCAACAAATACGAACATCATAAAATTAACAAAAATACATAATAAATTGCAATAAGTTGAACAAGCTTGTTGGAACATCCCTCCGGCTATAGACATAAAATGTAAATTCAAAAACAGACGTGTACAATTTTTTTTTATATTTTCTAATACGACTCCAGATTTCTATTTGTTGTTCAATAATCCAAGTTTTACCTTCCTTGGCGTTGATTCAGAATTCATCATCATTATTTCTTACTCACGTTATTTTGTTGATGTTCTTGTTTTTGCTACAATTCTCATTCTCTTTGTTTCTATTTTAGCTTGTAATTTTATTGTTCTATTGCATTCTCCTAATACCCTCCTCTTCTAAGTGACTTGATTGTTCTTTGCCCATATTATAAAACTCCTCCACAAATAAATCGATGGAATCAAGACTCTTCTTTCTTCTAGTATTTGTTGCAGTTTTGCGACCATGATAACGTGTTCGTCTCTGTGAGCCATTAGATACTCCATCATCAATTTCACGGCCGGTTGAAGTTGGATTCGTAGTAGGGGCTGATTGATCAGTTGATGGAGGTTAGGTATTTGATGAATCTTTAATTTCATCATCCTCCAAATCAATTTCAACACTCTTTTTTGGGAAGATTTTTTCTACTTTCCCTACTGAAAAATGTACTTATTAGATAAATTGTTCATAAAAGATATCCATTATGTTTCTTAAGTACATATTTATTCGTAGTAACCTCTTTATAATTACAAAAAAAAGGATATATTTTTCCACTTTTGTTGCATTTTATCACATTTTTCATGGATAATAACAAATAATGATAAATGCATTAAAAGGGGATAATTACAGTTTCGGTCCCCCAAGTTTGCACGTTTTTCAGTTTTGGTCCCTCATTTATCGCCGTCAACAAAATACACACTTATGTTGTCACATTTGAACACATTTAGTCCCTCCATCTGTTTGACCGTCAAGAAGTAACGGTCAAAGGTTGAATTAGGGCTGAATTTGGGATTTTTCATAGAGAAAATTGCACTTAGACCCCTACATTCTTGTTAAATATTCTAAAAACCCCTAAAATTTCATTCAAAACCATAATTTAACCCCAATTTCATCATTTAATCAATTTTGACAAATGACCACGATTCTTACCACCATTATCGCTAACCGTTGACCGCCGTTGATTTTTTTTTTTTTACTTTTTTTCCGGCATTGAGTTTTTTTTTTAATTTCTTTTTGACGCCGTTCACCAACATCGTATTCTCGGTTAACAATGTTGACTTTTTTATTTTTCTTGATTTTTTCGAACTATTTCCTGTGACTTCTTTTTCCGATCAACAGAATTACTGTATAACACAATAATAATACTATATTAATATCAAGTGTTGTAATATTAAAACTACAAACTTCTAACAAAGTTTTTATTTAAAATTCTAGGGCCTAAGTACAATTTAAAAAAATTGTGAAATCCATAATTTCTTCCCCACAATTTTTTCTTCGTGGAACCGCCAGTGCATCCCAAATTTCTTGCCAAAAAAATATGAAGAAGATGAAATATGCATGTGTGGAGTAATTTGGAAATGAGATAACCACTCTAGGACAACGGTTTTTTGGGCTAACACCGGCCGTTAATTTTTTATTTTTCCTTTTGTCTTAAATGTTTCCGTCATTGAGATGCGTTGACTTTTTCATTTTTCTTTATTTTGACTTTTTTATGATATTATTTTCTCGCCGATTATCATCTTTGATTTTTTTTAATTATAGTTTTCCATTACTCAACAATTTAAATAAAAATCAAGAAAAAAAATGGCAACGTTGTTAACCCGACATTCAACATCGATCAACAGCGGCAAAAAAAATCAATCGGAAAAAGAGTCAACCGAGTTAAAAAGAAAGTCAATGTCGGATTACCCCATTTTTTAAAATCAGGGTCATTAGCTAAAATTGGTTAATTGATGAAATTGGGGTTAAATTATGGTTGGATAAAATTTTAGGGTTTTTAGAATATTTTGAAAGAAAATAGGGGTCTTATTAAAATTTTCTAAATGAAAAAACCCAAATTCAACCGTTGACCGTTACTACTTAACAGTCAAACAGACGGAGGGACTAAATGTGTTAAAATGTGACAACATTAATATGTATTTTGTTGATGGCGGTAAATGAGGGACCAAAAGTGAAAACGTGCAAACTTGGGAGACCAAAACTGTAATTATCCCTATTAAAAGTAATCAAATAAATACATGTATCTAACAATATAAGGTTAGAAAAAATTGGTAAGTGAAGAAAAATATTATCTTAGATCAAAGCAAAATATTATGTTGGATGAAATTATTAGTTTAAGTTTATTGTTGAAACACAATATAAACATATAATTTATTGTTTAATTTGCTGATCATAACATAAATTTCTTGTAAAGGTTCAGTTCAATATTGTTATTTAAAAAATAGAGGAGGAATAGCTAAAATTAATTGTGACGCCGCTTTCTCGGCGAACAAGGATTTCTTCCAATCTTCAATGGTGGCGAGAGACTCCTATGGCTCGCCTTATGGTGGAGTGTCGAGCAAATTCCGGGAAGAATCCAACCGGTCGAAGGAGGAGCGCTTATAGCCTTAAAAACAATCCACAAGGCATTGACCCAAGGTTGGACAATGATTATACTCGAAAGTGACTGTCTTCAAGTAACTACTGCTCTGCTCTCCAGGACGAAGTTCGGTCGGTGAGATCTTTTGGTGCATTCAATGATGATACTACTTATTAGGGTCATTTCTTCTTGTTTTCAGAATTGTTTATTTTGATTTGTTACAAGACATTGTGATAAGCTTTGTCATATGCTTGTGAGCGACTTGAACCAGCAGACATATAAGAAGGGTATATACGTTTCTTCCTCCTCGTTTTGTCGATGGTTAATTAATATAGTCTTCTTTCTTAAGAACAAAGTAATGGGATAAAACTACTAAAAATCCTCAAACTATTTAAAACTAATTCTTGATGAGGAATACGTGAATTTACAAAAAATAAAATGAAAAGTTTTTTAGCATCAAATAGAAGAGAAAACGGGCAATCGGTTCCGGTTTAAACAACCAATAAGTGTTGGTGGAGGGCAATCAATTCAGGCTTAAATAAATTAATTGACTCCAATTGAAAAGAATTTTCACCAATTAAAACTACAAAATATAAAAGCACCTGATTTACCAAAAAAATAATCATGGCCATATTTTACTGGTGAAAATGAGTCGAAGTTTGCACTCCCCCGCAACATTCATTCCTACAAACCAAGAAAATTTGAGCTCGTAATCACCTAAGAAATTACAACAAATAAATTTATCCTAAATAGGAAAAATAACAAATAAATAAATGGGTTTTACATTGTTCTTCCCGTTAGCATGATTATAGATCTCCATTTTAATGGTGCTCAACAGCATCACTTGGACTTGCATATCTTAATTTTTTTTATGTGCAAAGTGTTTTATAGAAATATATATTTTTTTTGCATTTTTCTGAAAATTTAAACCACAATTGTGCGGGAGTTACGTACACATTGAAGACTAAGGGGATGTTTGTTTTTATTTCCAAAACTCATTTCTAGTTTTATACTATTCATAAAACCGAGATCATGTTTGTTTGATAATTTTATCTAGAAAATCTTATTTTTTCTTATCAAATTTCTATTGAAAATACACTATTCATACTTTTTCAATTTTCAAACCTACTAAAACCTACTAACTAACCTATATATTTTATTCCACCAACTCATTTCTCTCTCCTATACATCACTCCTCATTAATATTTACACTCTCTCTCCCCTCATTTCTCTCTCCTCATTAATATCTACACTCTCTCTCCTCCCAATTTCTCTTTCTTCTAATAATAATAATAATAATAATAATAACAACTGTTGAGAAACTAATAAAGAGTATAGAAGAAGAAGAGAACAAAGTAGGGAGAATATGTGATATATTATTCCATAGCTTCAAGTGTACAAAATACAATGCATTGCACCTAATTTATAGGTGTAGAAAAGCTAGTCAAAGGTCATGAGTTACAAGACCTTAATGATGAATAATGGTGGAGGTAAATAGGTTTAATGGAGAGTGTAATGGTGGTCATCCATAACCTCCAAGAATTCATAATACTCCCCCTTGGATGTCCACCATTTATGGAATATGCCTCGTTAAAACCTTGTTAGGAAAACCCGATGGGACAAAACCTAAACGAAGGAAAAAGAGTACATATCCATATAAAGCTTGTGAGCGTGACACTGCCTCGTTAAAACCTTGCCAAGAAAAACCTATTGGGACAAAAACTTGGTCGAAGGAAAAAGAGTACAGTGTTGTTATAGGTTGTGCTCATGCTCCCCCTGATTTCGACATATGACTTTTAATCATCTTCTCACTGAAGTAGTTGGCAATACACGAATTTATGAACATGATAATTTATTATTTGACTTTGATATAGCCAACTATATCTGCTTTAAGATCCACGAAATTTTTCATGAAGATAGTGT